TGGTTAATTATTCATATTTCCTCATGAGCTGATTCGTTACACAGATTATAATACTGTTTTAATTGGAGCCTCTCAGGGCTTTGTCCTCAGTCCTTTGCTTTACTCCCTCTATGCCAGCAACTGCTTGGCTAAGCGCAATTCTAGCAAACTGGTGAAGATCGTGAAATGAACTGGAACCCAAAAAGATCTTCCGAAATATAAGAGCTTTAAATGTAAAACTTACAAGATGCATATTACAAAAAAAGAAAACATGTTCACTGTACATGCGTGACAAATGCATTTTAAAAGTGCAAATGTTTCATGTATTTATTCCTGATGAGTCACATTTTAAGTATCCTCAATTAAAAATAAGTGACCAATTAAAAATAGATTGTCACAGGACCACATACAAATATTTTACATGATCAAAAGGTACATATGAAAATAAGACTCAAATAACAATGTCATTTTGATCCCTTTAATTACATTTTTTTTCCAGTTGTTCATAGTATTACACAGAGAAATTAGCCACACAATTAATTTTGATTGCATTATGTTATTCATACATTTTTTTTTCTTTTTTTTTGTTAATTACATTATTTCCTATTTTAGTGCTAAAGCTAAAAAAGTTACACAGGAACTAGCACACTGATGTCTAACCCATGAGGACATTGAGACGTAAATCTACTTCACAGAAAATAAAAGGGTTTCATTGAGGAGAGTTCAAAAAAAGAAGAACAAAATGGATACACATTTACATTCACACTTGTTTATGTACGAGTCATATCGTACGAATTCATACGAAATTGGCAACTCATTTATTGAGAGTGCACTGTAGATGAAGTACTGTTTTCAAGTCAGCATTTGCTTGAATAAACACCACTATTATTAATCCCGCAGGTATTTCAATTCTCAAACTATTTTTGTGATTGCTTTATAACTGGACGTATGAATAAAGGTCATTGTACACCGAGTCCGAAATTTTCGTAATTTATTCATTTTTTTTCAGATTCGTCATCCTTTCCTATCATAATGCTTGCTACGGGTGCGAAAACGCAGAAAATCGAACCTGATCAGAATTTTGTCATTTATTTTTATGACGGACGAAAGTTTCGGAGGCAGTAAACATGATTGACACAACGTGAGGTCGTATTTATTTTTTAACGTGCGAAAATTTTGGACGACAATTTCGGACGCAGTGTGCAAAGACCTTAAGTGTTTACATGTGTAATTTTGCACCAGTTACACTTAATAATTCCTTAAACGGTGGCCTTTTATAGGGGAAAGCCTCTAAAAGCCACTAAATGCCCACCATACCCTCATGACACTCTGTAAGTACGTCATACTTTGGCGAATTGAATTCGTCCAAATTCGCAAACACGAAAATGGGTACGCTTTCTCGTGAGACCGGGTTTAAATGTCTTTATGGGTGTTCTGTCGGCTTAGTTATGACACACAAGCAGAACACATTTCTAGTTTCTCGTTCATACAACTAGAAAATATTTCTAAATTTAGCCACACATTTCCTCTGGGGAGCTGACGTGCACTTTTGTGATTGTGACTGGAAAAAAGGATGTGAATGTCTCATGCAGGCTTAAATACTGGCATATTTTCTTGCGGTATCTTTTATTTAGTGACTTTCAGAGATGTGTTTTACAAATTAGCTGATTTCATTGTACATGTAAACACACTCGATGGAAGCACTTGTCCGACTCTTCTACTAATCTTGCCCTCACCTGAAGGTCAACTTGAAATCGATTTTATTACTTTCTTGATTCGTGTTTCTGCTCTTACTAGAAGCGATTCATCAGTGCATGCTAGTCTTCGTAATCTTTCATCAAACTCGCTCAAACAACTTTCCTTTTCGGCTTCCGGCATCGATTTCTTTTATTCCCAACCACCATCACACAGACACCTTTTCACCATCTAATCAATTCCTCACAGATTACTCCCCGTCCAATGTTTATGTCCGGTTTCACAGATATTAATGTGTAACTCATGTCACTTGACTTCAAAACAACGATTCCTGTGACTTTCTCGCAGTTCTTTCCTATGTATGACCACACTCTCTCACTGAAATAAAAATGAACGTAAAATCCGTTAAAAAAAAAAAAATTTAAAATTATAGTCTGATGTGGTCAAGAAAATTCCGGCATGCATTTCAGAACAAGCAAAGACCCCAATGGCCCCAACCCCACAACCAAACAAAAAATATATATAATTACAGTATTTTTCCTTTCTTGCTTTTATGTGTATAGCTTTTTTGTTAAGGGCAAATGGAAGACATGAGGTGGCTGTCATCTACAGAGACGAGTATTTCGGCCGAAAACTTTCACCACCATCTCCGACAATACTGCACCCCGCTCACAGCAGCAGGATTATATAACAGAAAAAAATAATACAGAATACAAAAACGAAAAAAGCACACCAAAAAATAATAATGACAAAGAAGTTGATAGACACACATTATGAGCTTATATACTCTTTTCTCTATACTTTTGTTTAGAAATTCAACATGTAATTAGGAGAAACATCGTTGTTTATTTTGTCAGTGACGCTCGTCGTTATTTTTATTAATAATCAATATTCATATTAGAAGTATTACTATTGGTTAACACTACATTTGGGTCTCACTAAAGGCCCCGCCCATGTCACAGAGTTAAAGGGCTCTATCATCTGCCTGACGGGTCGGTGAAGGCAGGGAGAGAGTCGTCATCATCCGTCCGTCGTCACGCACGAAACTCACGTTCCGCCACCCAGAAGACTGAAGCGTTTCATCCGTCCATCTCTCTCCCCCGCTCTGGTGCTTCTCAGCACGATACCTCCATGGTATGGGACGGGCTCGGCGGGAGCTGTCCGCCCTGCGAGCCCTGGGACAGCGTGCGGGATCGGGAGCGCGAGCCCTCCATGGAGTAGGAGGACGAGAGCGAGGTGGTGCGCGAGCGCGAGAGACGCGTCATGCAGGACGACGCCACTGAGAGAGAAAGAGAAGCAGCGCAAACATAAGCGAACAAGCAGAAGAAGAAGCCGAAAAACAAGGAACAAACAAATAAATAGGCCTAAATAAAAAAAAAACACTGTGAGATGCAAACTCAGAATTCCGCGAAAAGCCAAAATTCCAAGATGTAAATTCCAACAACAGCATAAATACAAATATGACGCTTCAGTCAGTGATTTTTTTTTTTTCCCCAACAAAAGTGGTGCTTCTCAGCACGATACCTCCATGGTATGGGACGGGCTCGGCGGGAGCTGTCCGCCCTGCGAGCCCTGGGACAGCGTGCGGGATCGGGAGCGCGAGCCCTCCATGGAGTAGGAGGACGAGAGCGAGGTGGTGCGCGAGCGCGAGAGACGCGTCATGCAGGACGACGCCACTGAGAGAGAAAGAGAAGCAGCGCAAACATAAGCGAACAAGCAGAAGAAGAAGCCGAAAAACAAGGAACAAACAAATAAATAGGCCTAAATAAAAAAAAAACACTGTGAGATGCAAACTCAGAATTCCGCGAAAAGCCAAAATTCCAAGATGTAAATTCCACATTTTTTATTTTTTTTTAAACGCAACAGCATAAATACAAATATGACGCTTCGGTCAGTGATTTTTTTTTTTTCCCCAACAAAAGGTTTTCTCTAGTTAATCTGACACCAAACAGGTAAAACTAACCCAGACAGCAACCAGTGTTGGCCCACATCTGGTCTGCATGGATCTGGGCCAACACTACGTTGCTGTCTGGGAATGGGTTAAACGTTTTGTTACTGATAATGAGAAGCTAATCATTGCTGTGATATTACTACAGTTCAAACGTTTGGGATTCGGCAAGATGTTTGTGAAAGGCGCCAAGGCTGCATTTATCTGATCAGAAATACAGTAACATTTTTGTTGTTTTAATATATAGTAAAATGTAATGTATTTCTGTGATGCGCAGCTGTATTTTCAGCATCATTACTCCAGTCTTCAGTGTCACATGATCTTCAGAAATCAGTATAATATGCAGCTCAAGACACATTTCTGATTACTATCAATGTTGAAGACAGCTTGTTACCTTTGTAGAAACCATCAGACATGTTATTTTTTAGGATACTTTGATGAATAGAAAGTTCAAAACAACAGCATTTATTTGAAACCGAAATCTTTTGTAACATTATAAATGTCTTTACTGTCACGTTTGCTCAATTCAATGCATCCCTGCTAAATAAAAGTACTAATTTCCTTCTTTCTAAATAAATCTTACTGACCCCAAACGTTTAAATGATAGCGTAAGCAAGCAGTGGTTGGTTTACATTTTTGTGATATTTCTCGATAAAATGCTCTCAGGTCACTTACTGTATCCCATGCCTTGAATGAAGTATTTAAACGCTTCTGTCAGTTTGCTGGGCTGTGGAGACACACATTTCATTTAGACTCCAAACAGATTTCATCTGAATAAATTAATTGTATTGATAAATAATGATGTGACTAACCTGAGTAAGCTGTGGCATCCCGCCGGCATCCGCCATCTGAATAAAAACAACAGAGAGCTCATATAAAAATACACTTGCTTTGTCATTTTAAGATGATTAAATTAACAAGTTATTCAAATGAAATGACCCATTGATAATATGTTATGCGTATGTTTGCTCTTCTTTAATGAAATCTAATAAAAGTACAAAATCAGTCGTGAAACAGGTGAAGTTTAGACCTTGAGAAATGAGGTCGTAGTTGGATCTAGTTTGCTGTTGCACTCCACCTAGAGGGCAGAAACAGACGTGCAGTGAGATGAATCGAGGATTTCTGTGGATAAGCCATTTCCTTTTTACGACTGACTGACATAAAGACTTACAGCAGCTTCCTCGTACGGAGCCTGATCACCGACCACCAGCATCACAGGACATCTGAAAGACACAGACACGTGAGGAGACGCCAGAAGAGAGACGTCTGTAAGAGAGAATGGCTTTATTTGTCGTCATTCTTACTTGAACGTGTTATTCCTCTCGACGTTCAGATCTCTGCGACTGCAAGGCAGAGAGAAAAACATAAATGTTTGATTATTAAGGTGCTAAAAGTGCATTGTGTTGTATCACGTGTGTGAATATGCGTGCTGGTACAATGCATCACATCTTAATTGCATGGAACTGATAGTTATGGATGGATCACTTTTTAATGCAATTTGAAGTGTATTTTTGAGCATGCAAGTACACAGCATTCAAACGTACATAATTAATTTCTCATACATTTTCTGCTTTGGTAGTATGATCAACAAGATAAGCCATTTCCTTTTTACGACTGACTGACATAAAGACTTACAGCAGCTTCCTCGTACGGAGCCTGATCACCGACCACCAGCATCACAGGACATCTGAAAGACACAGACACGTGAGGAGACGCCAGAAGAGAGACGTCTGTAAGAGAGAATGGCTTTATTTGTCGTCATTCTTACTTGAACGTGTTATTCCTCTCGACGTTCAGATCTCTGCGACTGCAAGGCAGAGAGAAAAACATAAATGTTTGATTATTAAGGTGCTAAAAGTGCATTGTGTTGTATCACGTGTGTGAATATGCGTGCTGGTACAATGCATCACATCTTAATTGCATGGAACTGATAGTTATGGATGGATCACTTTTTAATGCAATTTGAAGTGTATTTTTGAGCATGCAAGTACACAGCATTCAAACGTACATAATTCATTTCTCATACATTTTCTGCTTTGGTAGTATGATCAACAACAACAACAACAACAACAACAACAAAGTGACGATACATGCAAACAATGAATGATGATGATCTTTGACCATCACAATTCTACATCATTTTGTCAGATTTTCAATTTTTTTTATTAATAGCAACTAATGAAGCAGACATGTGTGTTCATTATATTTAATTATTACTACATTATTTTGAAAAAAAACATGTCAAATGAAACATTAAGATATGTTTATTATTATTGGGATGCAAAAAATTAATCATAGTGTTCAAAATGTACCAAAGTTTCAACAATCTGACTATATTGTTGGTGTAATGAAATCCATATTTGGAATATATGGCTTTACCAAGTCCAAATCAAACAGTAATTTAGCAAAGTTTTATACACACGCCACTGTATGCTTCTGGCTGTTGAACTGTTTCCGTGGTGCATGTGTGTGATTTTACCCCTGGTAGCTTTTCCAGAAGAGCTCGATGTTGATGAGGTTTGGCGCTTTAGAGATTCTCTCTCTGTGAGTTTGAATGAGCTCTGTGTTTGCCGACATCTCTTCCTGAAAACAAACACACACACACACACACACGACAAATCAGTGTTTAACCTTTCACACGCCGTCATCTTTGTAATCATTTTGTATAATGCCGTCCTTTATAATGTTCCCTGAAATACTTGATTCTGATTGGTCAGTCACATCATTCTGTAGTCAAACATTTCTGAGTAATGATGTTAAACTAGAATTGGACACTTTTCCATTTCCAAGAACTGGCTGTGCTAGTTCTGATCCAAAGCCTCTTCTTCTCATGTAATTTAATGTATTTAATGAGCTATCACCATACTTCTTTGGTTGATTAATCACAGTATATTAAGACAATTGTTTTGTATACAAGTGTTCTAGAAGGTTATGTTTAAATATGCAAATGGTTTTAATGTCAAATTATATATATATATATATATTTTTTTTACAGAAGGGATTTGAATTTTTTCTTTTTATCATTCTATTAATCAGAAAATACTGTCAATAGGAATAAAATGTTCAATCTATCTATATCTATCTATCTATCTATCTATCTATATAAGCATGATAATATACAGTCAGTCATTCATTATCAGAAAAACAATCTACATCATGTTGATCAGAAGCCCTCTGATACATATTTATCTAACAGAGACAAACACACATTAGCCTCGTGCGTTTGTGTCGATGTTGATCAGAACGAGCCCTTCCACGGCGTCAGGGTTAGTCAACTGTGTGTGAGAGAGAAAAACTATGCTGTCGCAATCCAAGGCATTATTGCTTGTAAATAAGTCTACATTCTAATGCAAAATCCGGTGATAAACAGTGAAATCTCCATCGAAGATGGCTGATGGAGTTTATTTTGAGAGTTTATCATTTTTACTGTATATTTAAACAGTCTGCAAAGTGTCATAATATTCAATGCCTCAGTGTGCGGTGTTGTTTTTATTTTGGCCAGCAGAGGGCGTCATTCAGTCTTGGAGTGCCTGCTTGTGTTACATCTATATATATATATATGCTGTATTTTAACAAATTAATGTTGCAGATTTTAAAAAAACTGAACTTTAATTGTTTAAATTTTAACAAAATTCAAAGATTTTTGAAAGACAACGTCCACCAAAGGGTCATACTGAACTCCTAAATAGATCAAAGTAGTGAAAGGATTTTATGATAAAGCAATAAAAAGGGAAAATATTGTAAGAAACTATATGGAGAGCAACAAAATAGTTTTCATTTCAGAAGTATATGCACCTAAATGAAAACTAAAAATGTGATCAAATGAAATGAATCTGAATAATGACCATATGCATAAGTCATTTACATATCACTCCAAGAGTCCATGATATTATTTTAATGTTTTTTTTTATTCAATAACCTGTTAATTATGAATGATCTGATAATCAATAAACTGATTATTTCTTTGATTAAAGAAATACAAAATGTACTTTTTGCACATTAAAAAGAGAAAAAAGAAAGAAACAATAATAATGCATGCAATGGTCAGATGTATAACTCACAGTGAACTTGGACAGTATGTAAGCGCCGGCTCCGACTCCAACACCGATAATTGTGCGGAAACTAAACGAGAGGAAAACAATCAACGGTAATACATTCAGTCATATGAAGATCAGAGCTGTTGTCAAGTACATGTGTCGTTTGCAGGCGTCACTAATGACGATTTAAACATGCAGTAAATGTTGACTCACTTAAAGTACTGCAGGACAGCGGGGAGCATCTCAGAGACCTGATCCATAGATGCATACTGGTATCTGTCAGAGAAAATAAAAAGGTTTTAGGACTCTTAATATGTCTAAAACAAGACACAGTGGCCTGCAGACATTTGAAATCATAAAAATAGTCTCGGAGTCAAAGTCTCAGCAATCACACACACGCACATATATACTGTACATACACATGTACATACATATGGGTGAAATATGGACAAACCCAGCTATTGGGTTGTTTTGACCCAGTGGTTGGGTTACTACCCAGAAGGGTGGGTTAAACATTTAACCCGACCGCTGGGTCAAAACAACCCAATAGCTGGGTTTGTCCATATTTCACCCAGCACTGGGTTGTATTTAACCCAGCATTGTTTAGAGTGTAATATATATTTACACATTAATATATACAGCACATACCCGGCAGGATAAATGGCCGTGCCGTCCTCTTGTCCCGGGGCGTTCACGTGAACCACAGTGAAGTTCTTCACGATCTCCTGCATCTCTTCAAACTTAAACAGGGTGGAGAAGCAGCTCTTACCTGAGAGAGACAGACAGATGAAAATAAATAACTAATAATTGAATATGCCTTGACCCGAGGTTTGGCTTGAGGGCTCATGACTAGCAAACTACTTTCATCTAAGTAACTGTTAAACTGGGATACAAGAAAGCATTTAAACATAGAAAAATTACACAAACACCCATCACTGCTTCTTATGTTTACATTCATTTATTCTTTTTTCACTCATCATATTTAAAACTACACAGTAGGCCCAACGTGCTAAACATGGCTAATAGTAATAATATAATCAGAAAGTATACAACAATGTAAACACACACAAATAACACACATATGCCTTTAAACAACCAAATGGAAAGAGATAAGAGATTGGCTTATTAAAATGACAATGTATCAACTTAGAAGTACGTTATGTATTGACAAAATTTGTTTTGAGCAAGTACAGAATCAGTTTTGTTATTTTCAAAAGCAAATGTGTCTGACATCCCAATTTTTCAGGAAACTGAGAAATGTGTTCATTTTCACTTTTATAAAAAAAAAAATCAAAATAAAAAGTTGTAAAGGAATCATTCTTTTGAGTCAAATCTTTGCAATGAATCTTTTGAACTGGTTCACAGCCTGGTCTGAAAGAGTCATTTTCAAACTGAACTACACTACATCAATACAAATGGTTCTGCATTTGCATTTTGCACTGATTGTCTACTTATTAAACTAAGATCGGTTTCTTTTTGACATTTTAGTGTAGACTAAGCCTGACAATGATGGTGGCTCATGACTCGCTTAATGTCACTTAATGTCTTATGTGTTTATTTTGGTACTGATGCACTTTGACTCTGTTTGGCTTGTTAAACACACTCATCAAGTGTGAACCAACATGGTCTGAGTGTGAAGAGCTCATCTTGTTTAGCATGATGTGCACAGCTGCTTTTAAATCATCATTTGTATTATTAGATACAGCATCAGTTGTGCTGCAAAGAAAATAAAAAATGTTTGTTGTACATTTCCAAGAAACAGGGTTTATTTTCACACCTGCTTCATTACAGCCCAATAAATATCAGTCCAGAGAGAGTCTCAGACACAAGTGACACTTTCTGAACTTCAGCTCAGACTCAACAAGACTATTTTACAGAAGCTCAAGAATGCCACAAAGGTAAATGACAGAGCCACTTTATACACACACACACACACACATTGATGAACGGACTCAAACTTGGCTTGCAAGATTAGATTATACCTGTTCCAAAGATAGCTAGGCCTTTAGAGAGCAATGATTTTAGACCGGTTGCATTTGCATCTGTGATTATGAAATGTTTTGAAAAGTGTGTTATGTTTGTTAAAAGCAGAGGTTGCTAACTTAGATCCCTTACAGTTCACCTATAGACAAGGGAGAGGAACTGAGGATGCTATTTACAGCATTATGCACTTGATTTTCAACACACATTTAGAAGATCCTAAAGCTTATGCTTAGTTACGGTTTATTGATTTTAGCTCTGCTTTTAATTTATATGATGAAGCAGCTGTGTTAACCCATGTATTATTAAACCATTTAATCCCACATTTTTCACAGATATGAAAATATCCACATGATGTGTCATTATTAACCCTTTTAAATAATCAATAATAATTTTTTTGTTTTTTATGAAAAGTGTGTGCAAAATCGTGTTTTATGGTCGGTCACAATTGTGACTGGTGGGATAATGTGTGTAATGAAATAACATATTTATACAGTCAAAATAATTGTTATATATCTTAGCCCAGCTATTTTAAACTGTTTGATCACATTCTAAGGTTACTATTATGCATAAAAAAAACATATACAACATTGATAGGAATACTGAGATAACAGACAAAAAATACAACCATCAACGTATTTCGAAATTGTTACTTTTTTGGAAAATATATCATCAGATTTTTATATTAGTGCTACCAGTATTACAACATCAATATTGTAACTTATTTGTAACATTTGAACTTTTAATTTAGTGCGATATTTTGTCATAGCAACATTTTAGTGTAATTTTCACTAATAATTGCAATTAAAGAAATACTCTTTGAGAGAAGCAGTCAATCAGCGGAAGTTAAAAGCAGATCATAAGTGTATTTATTTCTTGTCTCATTAGTGTTTAGCGCAGTTGTCATTGCTAGAAAACGCTTGTTTTGTTTACTGTGTTGAGATGTGCTGAAGTTACGTTTGGTCTCGTACTCTATCGCATACCGTTGTCAGTGTCGTGCGCTTGCTTAGCTCTTTGTTGTGATAAACAGTAAAGTGTGTTTTGTCAAACGGGTATAAAAAAGGGTAGTACACCACAGCAGCCCTCGTGTAAAGACCCTCGACTCTACCGTGCAACTCCACAGTGTAGGGACACAGACAAGGGACATAAATATCGCTTTTGACTCTTTTTTACACCTTTCTTCACTTCACTTTCAGTTTTTATGACCAACTCTTACTATGTGTTTCCATATCACTACTATTACTACCACTCGCAAACCACGCATCACACACTATAGGCAGCGCAATCCTAACAACCTGTGCACTTTGCCTATGTCTGCTAATACACTACTTTCTTTTTCTATTGGTCTCTGGAAATGTCAGTCTGCAGTAAACAAAGCAGATTTCATTACATCTATTACTAGTCATTCAAGACTAAACCTCATGGCCCTGACAGAGACCTGGATCAAACCAGAGGAAACTGCTACTCCTGCAGCACTCTCCAATAATTTCTCATTTTCCCACACACCCCGTCTGACTGGAAGAGGTGGAGGTACTGGCCTGCTTATCTCTAATGACTGGAAATGTATTCCTTTACCTTCTATGGGTATTAGCAGCTCCTTTGAATCACATTCAGTCACTATTACCCAGCCTTTTAAAATCCATTTTGTTGTTGTTTATCGACCCCCAGGACCACAAGGTAACTTCTCGGATGAATTAGATGTGCTGCTCTCAACCTTTCCTGAGGATGGTACTCCCCTAGTTATGCTTGGAGACTTCAACATCCACCTAGATAAACCTCAGGCTGCAGACTTCCACACTCTGCTTG